GAATTTTTAAGTGTTCACAAGACTACATGCATTTTTATATATGCACTTATCATAGAAATATAGGCCGGTGGTATGTAAAAATAGGTTCGATACATCTTGAGGGAGAGTATTGGATAGATTAGGAGCACTTATTCCTCAATAATTTAAGTGTGTTGTCACATTGTAAAATTAGGGTTAAGGTGATAACTGCATGGGAAATCGTGATCTTAGTGTCTTTAATTTCCATTGAATACAACCAATTTGCGCTCTAACATATAGCATTTTAATTCATCAAAATATCGTTTTGCATACTTGAGTTCATTCCAATATTTAATTTTGCATAATTATGGTTTTCATAAAATTAGGGTTTATTTAGGTAGATATTGATACTGAGTAAATTCGTCTCGGTTAAGACTATACTAGGTAAAATTGAATTACTCAATCTCTGTGGGACGATATTCGGACTCTAAAAATCCACTTTATTACTTGTTAACGAACCGTACACTTGCGATGATTTTAACTGAAAGAAAATATTTCTTGAACAACTCACATAACTGACTGAGCATAGTTTATGTTGTTTGGATTGGATCAAATCAAATTAAACCACATCCTTGGACTTTGATCCTATTCAATACCTATGTTCATTTAAAACCTAGTCAAATTCCTTCTCAATTATCTGTCTTACACTCATATTCCTTTTTCTGACTCTTAACTTGACAAGAGTGCGAATGATCGTCAGACTTTCTAATGGACAGTGGCCTTTATATCGTAACGACGTGTTTAAGTGTGCATGAGATGCCTAGGCCGCTGGGAGGTAGCCAAGATCCTATTCACCACTCAATCAGACATAATTTAAGGTCAACCATTTGGGATTTAGCTCTATATTCTAAGCTTCAACTTCTTTTCAAGGCTTCTCCAAAAAATAAGACTTTTGTATTCAAAGCTTTAGCTTCTCTTTAAGGCTTCTCCATAAAATTAGACTATTTTGTTACCTTGGCAACTGGATTTCATCTTCAACATCAAAGTCCAATGCCTCGTATGAATGTCAATATTTGAATTTGGGGACTATTGTGTTGTTGCTTCATTTATAATATACAACCACTACTACTTCGAATCAAATACAAAGTGAAGACACTACAATGACATTCATAGTAAGTGCATCAACAACAAGACATCTACAACTTTTCAAGCCTCACTTTCAAACTCCAACTTGGGGGGCCATTATTACGCCTCTACATACGTAGCAAGCTATGTGATGCCATCTAAAAATTGTCAGTAAGTTTTTTCAAGGCCCTATTTTTTCTCCTTCTGAAGCAATAAAAAAATATCACATTGCCTCGTCAACCGTTACTTTTCGATGCATTGAAGGTAAAGACAGACGCCTCATCGACTAATGCCTCCTAGGTTATTTTGCATGCAGCGAGAGCATCAACACCTATATCTGAGGTGATGGGAAGGACCACCACCCTTAGCTGTATAAGATGGACCTTTGGTGTGTAAGGCGGTGGTGATACTCAGAGGCACCTCATGTAAGGTGTGTTTTAATGACATGGAGTCACGTAAAAGTAATTGATGTGACACCTTCTGTAGTGGCAATTGGAAGTCAAATCTCACCTTTTTCTTGCCAGGGATAGTGCGCGGAGTTGCACACCTATTGATGCCTAGGATGCAATATGGAGATGTTATGGAACTTAACTAGTGAGCCGTTGAAATGAAAACACATGTCAAACATCCAAAAAAACCTTAAATCTATTTCCTTGCCTACGATACTGTCATACAATAGTCGGGTGGAGATAGTTACAATCTTGATAATCTCTCTATGATGCAAACCCTTCTCCCATATTTCCTCTCCTTTTAGCATCACTGCAATATCTAGTATTTGACTGAATTAAGTGTTAGAGCATGAATGATCGCGACCTTCCCCACCTTTTGTATTTAGAGAGACTTCGGTCTTTGACATCTAACGCATGCATTCCAAGTGGATCCGTAACATACGCTCGAGAGAAGTATAGGTAGAATTTGTTGATGCACTAAGTCTCAACTAGATTTGGAGGTTTGACAAAATTTTCATTTGAGTTAAAAATATAAGTAAAAGGGACTGTTCAACCTTTGACAATAATATTTGACAAATAATCATGACCCTTATTTTTAAAATAATCTAGCAGTTTAGATTTTATTATTGAAGTTTGAAAAAAAAAAAAAAAAAGTTAAAACCTACAAACTAAGGCAATGTTTGAGCTCAATTTTTTTTTTTTAAAATGAGTTTGAAAATAGTAATTTGTCTTTTCTTGGAGAATGTGAGGTTCAAAAATAGGAACAAGTTTTGATTTTATGTGCAAAACTATTTTATTAAAATAAGGTGTGGTTGAATATGAATTTGATGAAATATGAGTTTTCATATAGTGATTTTTTGGAGAATATGAGGTTAAAGATAGTAAAAAGTTTTGATTTTATGTGTAAAATTATTTTATTAAAATAATTTGTCGTTAAAAATAAATTTGATGAAAAATGAATTTTTAGATAATGAGGCTAAAACAGGGACTAATTATCTTCCCCACTCCCACCGTCACCACATCCCAGTATCCCACCTACACTACCATCACTTCGCTGCCATTGCCATCACCACCTCTATTGTGGATGAACCAGAGGAGGATTTCTCTCCCCATGAATTTGTAGATTCACAGAAACCAGGGGCGAAATCATCTTCGCATGTTTTAAGAAGTTTATTGGAAAGATGGGCACTTCTGCAAATTCTAAGGAGCTAAAATGAAAGTTCAAAAAGTTTTGACAATGAGTCTTTCTATACTTTTGCATTATTAATGATCTTCGGATCCAAGAAATTTATTTATGAATTTCCGTTGAACGTTCGACCATTTTATGGAAATAAGTTAAACTCTTGTTCGATGACCAACCTATCTCAGAGGGATCTATCCACCTAGTCACAATGGAAAATTTTATCATGGGAGGTTATGTCAAGTTTTGGCGAAGTTGAAGTATAAAAAAATGTGATAGAATGAAATATTAGACTAGAAATGAAAGGGTGGTTTCTATCTATGTTCTTCCTGAATTAGGTTTTGTAAGACACAAAGATCTATTTAACAAATTTCGATCCCTCTTAAGGTTAATTTAGTTAGAAAATTAACAAGATGAATTTAATATGAATAAGCTGGTCCTTCTTCACCTAAACTAAGTAGAATGCCACTAGGAAGATTAAAAAACCATTAACCCCATTTGTAACCTAGTACACGCCCTACCCTTTTCCTCTCAAAAAATTAGCCACTCAATGTTCTTCCTGAATTAGGTTTTGTAAGACACAAAGATCTATTTAACAAATTTCGATCCCTCTTAAGGTTAATTTAGTTAGAAAATTAACAAGATGAATTTAATATGAATAAGCTGGTCCTTCTTCACCTAAACTAAGTAGAATGCCACTAGGAAGATTAAAAAACCATTAACCCCATTTGTAACCTAGTACACGCCCTACCCTTTTCATCTCAAAAAATTAGCCACTCACCACCCCACCCCCCACCCCCACCCCAAAAACCTAGAAAAGTTAAAGAAGAAGAAGAAGAAATGGTCGATTAATTTACTTAACATGAAATTTGTCTTTTTTTTTTTAAGTAAATCATTAAAAGTGGTATTAATAATGAATAAAATATAAATTTGAAGTTGCGTTTAATTGTTTTTCCCTGCATGTATTCGATCTTGAACTTGTGTTACTAGTTAGATACATTCTACGTAATTAGTATGTGTTGGTATGTTGTGAAATTGAAATAAGTGATTTATTTTTTAAAGTTGTTAAATGATATTATTTCAGCTATTAATCTTATATACTATGTTTTTTGAATTAGGTAACATGACTCTTGTTTGAGATGTTTACGAATCTAGATATTTAGAGACTGAATTTGCATGTCTAAGACCTGTTTCCGATTTTTTACGATTTTTTTCCATGCGAATGAGATATAGACGAATTTTCGACCCTCTTAATATTAGTTAATTTTGAAATTTTATAATTTCCCTCTTCGGTTTATAATTTTCTAATTTTATTATAATATTTAAATTAGTGTGAAAATGTTATTATATTTCGATATAAATTATGTTTAAAAATGGATTTTTTCATATTTACAGAATTTATTAATTGAAGATACAATGGGGCGTGATTACATGAAATTATATATTAGGTGAATTATTAATTATAATGTTAGTGGATATCAACATCGAGTTTAATAAAGATCATTGATTTATTTCTTCAAAAACTTTTAAAAATGGCTATAAGCCTATAACCTTTGTCGAGAGATAATTTCCTCATTGAATAACGATGAGATCATTAACTAAGGGATTATGCTACTAGTCTTAACAATGTTAATCTTTTTAAAATGAAACCAAGTCCTTGTTTGCTATTATTTATTATCATAGCACGTAATATTAAAGTGGTCTATTTGATTAGTTAAGAAACTCAAACGAGCCTTCAAATTTCAAAATTGAGGTTCTCAAATATCATATCTATCAAGTGCAGAATTCATCTCTTTCGGCACTCTTTATTGATCTCAAATGATCTAGGATGCAAAACCATGAAACATAAATCACATAATTATTTAGCAGCCAATAATCTGAAAAGAAAGATATGTAGATAAATAATACAACACTTTCGCATATAGAAGAAAGAAAAAAAAGTTAAGAATCCACTAGCTCACCGAGCAAGAATTTAAGGTATCGAGGCATGATGAAATGGGACCAACGGCAGCATCCTGGTACAGAAAGAGAAATTAATCAAGCAAAAAGTTTACTGTTATTGAGGTCACATATTAATAAAAAAACAAACTGACAAGGTTTATGATGCCAACTCCATCGTTTTCGTTTGAGACAGACTTGTGGGTCAAACCTTACAGGATAGCAACTTAATCCTGTCTCATTTAAGATTTCGGTGAAAGTTATTCATTTTTTTTTTTAGGAGAATTTCTTGAGAAAATTACTTGATCTCTTTTAGCTGGACAAAACATTTCGAGTAAATTATCCAAGTATGCAACTTTTTAATTTCAGAAAACAACTTTTGTCTTTTAAAAATTCCTGCCAAACTGGTCCTAAGATATTCATATGGAAGAAAAGCGGATTGCTTCTTATGCTTTAGGTCTTATATCTACCCATTATGTACTGGAAAAAATACTACAATATTATATATAGAGTGAGGTATATTCCTTGAGGCTTAAACTAATCTCGCTTCTCAAATAAGCATATTTTGAGGGGAGAGGGGAATGGAGTTTACTCAAGAGAATATGTTAGATGAGTTAATAGCTCCAAAGAGAGACAGTTGGACCAGTTTCCCAACTGAAATGAATGAGTTCCTTCCATATGGTTGGAACTTTTCACCATTTGATCAAACCCCAGATTTGGTGGCATCGAATCCTTCACTTTTGGGACTCATTTCACCACAAGAATTCAGTTATTCTTATCCTGTGGGAGGATCCCAACCTTTTCTTGATACTTTCTTGGCGCCCGAGTTGGAGTCGTTCTACCAAAATAATCGTACTGCACTAACTGCAGATACTGAAAATGGAGAGTTTGGGTTTCTTGGCAATGGTTTCGAAGAAGGAATGAGTAGCTATAGTAGTGTTGACATATCACAAACTCGAGCAAACATGGCTGTTTCTAACATAGGTCTGTGTAGAGAGAGAAAGGGCAAAGGTAAAAAGATTGATGGCCAACCCTCAAAAAATCTATTGGCAGAAAGAAGGAGAAGAAAGCGACTCAATGATCGACTTTCCATGCTTCGATCAATTGTCCCAAAGATCAGCAAGGTAAATTAACATTATCATTAACTTATAAGTTATAGTATCGTTTAGTAATTATTAATTTAACAAATATATAATAATTAAGTAGATGGATAGAACATCCATACTTGGAGACACCATAGATTATATGAAAGAGCTTCTTGGTAAAATCAACAAGTTGAGGGAAGAGGGGAAGGATGAGAATCTGAATCAGATGGCAAACTTAGAAGATCTAAAGCCAAAAGAAATACAAGTGAGAAACCACCCTAAGGTATGTAAAGTTTCATTTTTGTTATATACTAGTCGAAAAGAAAAATGAAGCTACTATTCATTATTATCCGCCCCCATTTCCAGTTTGAAGTAGAAAAGACAGATCAAGATACCCGAATCGAGATATGTTGTGCAGCAAATCCAGGGTTGCTGCTATCAACAATCAGAGAGCTAGAATCAATGGGACTTGACATTCAACAATGTGTTATAAGCTGTTTCAATGATTTTTCACTGCAAGCTACATGTTGCGAGGTAGACCATTCACTTAAATGTCTTTACATTTGTTATGCATTTGGTTTAAAAGTTAACCTTATTAAGTAATTAGTCTTCATTTGGTTTAAAAGTTAACCTTATTTAAGAGGAGAAGGGTTTTTTTATTTTGTTATTTAGCCTTCAACACGTCTCTCACGTACTGATAAGATTCATTTTTCATCAAATATTTTACACTTTCTTACCGTGTTCCTTATTATCTTCTTATGGTTCAGGCAGCCGGGCATCGATTGATTATTAGTCCGGAAGGTGTAAAGCAAGAATTGTTTAGAAATGCGGGCTTTGGAGGAAGACTCTTATAAGTTTTTTGGATGGAAAATAGATCTGAAAGCTAAAAGAACTGGATTTATGTATGTTCTTGGCAATCAATTCCTTTATGCTTTCATAATATTGGATTTTAATTATTGGATTAGACTTACATCAATTACAGAATGCTTTTCGTGGACTCAATAATATAGAATGATTTTGCAGCACTGTGGAAACAGAATAGAAATTATTAAAAGTAGTTCTCACAAGATTCTAGGAAAGTGACCATTATATATTGTTCGACTTCTTGTAGCAAAGCTTCAAACAAAAGGGAGTATATGATGTAAATGATAATGACTCCTTTGCCCCATTTGTTGACTTGCCATTGTATTTTGTGTTACGTGAGACGAGAGAAGAAACTCTTCTTAGACACTCGTCATGAGAGAGATCAAATTAGGGATGAGAAATGAGACATCAGTTAATCTCAAAATCGAGTCATGGAGGGGGCTTACTCACGGACTGTTGGAAAATAAAACGAATTGAGATAATATATATAACACGACATAAAGTATACAGTCGCAAACAAACAACAAAATAAAAAGCAAAGAATTAATTGACAAAGGAACAAAGTATTGTATTCAATTGACTAATATGAAAATAAATAAATATAATAACCGTGTCCACACAATTATTCTATATTTTAGTAATACAAAGTCTAATATTTATAGGGATGGATGCCAAATCCTAAAAGTACCACAAACATAGAAACAAGATAAAAGTGAAATAAAGGAAACAATATTGTTTCAATAAAAACATGTAGAATAAATAAAATAATATTTTTCTAATTAAAAAGTGTGGAACAATGGATACAATATTTTTTCAAAAATAAAAAAATAAAAAATGTAAACTAATCTATATTTTAGTAATACAAAGTCTAATATTTATAGGGATGGATGCCAAATCCTAAAAGTACCACAAACATAGAAACAAGATAAAAAATCATGTGAAATAAAGGAAACAATATTGTTTCAATAAAAACATGTAGAATAAATAAAATAATATTTTTCTAATTAAAAAGTGTGGAACAATGGATACAATATTTTTTCAAAAATAAAAAAATAAAAAATTTAAACTAATTTTGGGTTGAAAACATCGAACAATCTCCATCATGACACAAATTTCGATGCAACAAACTAAGCTCCAAAATTTCTCCACCTAGAAAAATAAATCCAATTGCAACGAAAAAAATTCGAACTTTTCAACAAGAACCAAACTTTCTCTACCACAAAAAATACTCCTCTTCCACGGTATCCTACAGAATACATGAACCCAAACACCAGGTTTCCCAAAATTCACAAAAAATTAGAAATTACCCAATTGTGGCGAAGCACACCACGTAACAGAATCAACTTACAATGATTTCATAGAAAGCTCCTGACTAGTCTCAACACCTTCAAAAACACTAAAAGCAGGTGTAACTGAATTAGTATCCACATACATATCTCTAATAGGTCTATACCTGACAATTGAATACAAAGGAACCGCAGGTAATAGTGGCAAAGCGAAATTATCCATATCTTCCAAACTTGATCGAGTAATATTCTTTAATATGGATCTTGAACCAAATCCCAAATGTATATTACCAAACTGAATCTCCATCATGGAACTAAATAAGCGCTAACTTTTCTTCATAAATTCTATCTGATCTTGCAAGACATATAATTGGAACCTTTTCTGCCCCTTCAATATAACATGAACACCCTTCTGAACCCCCAATACTCCACATTCTCTAGAGAACGTGTTTCCTTTTGAATCAAGAGTACTCAACAAAATGAGATTCTTCATCAAGTATAGAATATATCGAATGTGATCTAGTATTCTACATGTTCCATCCACCATCTTCAATATGACTCTACCAATCTAACTACCCGACAAGGTTCGTTGTTACCTATAACAATGACACTTTGTCACTGTTTCATATGTTTCAAACAAATCCGAATTGAGACACATAGAATGCACAAGTTGTATCCAAAATCTACTCATGTGTCAAGTTTGGATTCTATGTAAGAAATCGTCAAAACATTTCCATTACTATCTCGTCTGAAGTATTTGATTGCTTTCCATGATCTGTAGTCAAATTATCTTTGTTTTGTAATTTGTCATAATCCCTCTTAATGTGTTCTTTCTTCTTGCAATAATAACAAACTTGATTACTCAAATTTGATCTCGACTTACCCCTTCTCGGATCACCATGAACAATGAGGCCTTCATCATCTCTAATCTCAAATTCAACCAGAAGCTTTATCTTATCTTTTAAAAACAAGACATTATACTCATTTTCAATGGTGAGAGTATCACTACGATACAAGATCCTGTCCATAAACGAAGCAGGCAACGAACACAAAAGGATTAAGACCAAATATTTTTTTATCATACTTTACTTCTACAGTATCCAAATTAGTGACTATCTCCTTGAACACAACTAGGTGATCTTCCAAAGATCCGCTTTCTGTCATGCAAAGAGAATACAACCTCTATTTCAAATGCAATTTGCTTGTCAGACTTATAGTAAGTGTCTTTCTCTTCTTCAAAACATTCTGAAGAATATTATTAGAGAGAAGAAGATGGATCTATGAAAGTGCCTTCCGATCCTTCCACTGTTTCTCTTCCACCGTCCAAGTTGTAGGCATTTTGTCAAATTCCAACAACGTATCATTCAAATCCATTCGCATGAGTACAACTCACAATTTCATTTGCTATGACGAGAATCTTGTATTATGATCCGAGAGTGAAATTCCATATTTCATGACCGTCATCAATAACAAAAACTTCAAACAAATCATAATCAATAGTTCTGATATCACTTGTTGGGAAATTAAGCGGATTGAGATAATATATATGATATTTGAAGTATATGATCACAAACAAAAAGATAAATAAATTAACAGAGGAATAGAGTATTTTATTCAATTGAATAATATATAGAAAACAAATACAATAATTGTGTCTACATAATTATTCTATATTTAATAATATAAAACTTGTGGAAAGAGTCTAGTATTTATAGGGGTGCATGCGTGGTGACACTCATCCTCTCTTCTCTTCGATGCCACGTTCTCCTGTTAAGTCCCTTCTAGGACCTTCCCCATCTAATGTTCCTCCTCTGTTGGAAAATAAAGGTTAAGATTTTGAAACTCCAATGACTTCTTATCACTTGCAGTACGTCAGCTATAAGGACTTTGGCTCAGTTCTCCCAAATGTCCTAGTCAAATGTTAGTCACTGAAGAACGAAAGAATATAATAGATGAGCGATTAGAAGATCAGATCTATAAACCTAAACTTGAAGAATTTGATGACTTGGATGATAGTGAGAACACCTCCTTAGATAGTATTTGGACTTTCCCTATAAATCTGGGTGTTGTACCCCTTGTTCTTGATACCTCCAGTCAAATGTTGTGTGTCATACTCTTATCCAACCTAAAGGTACTGATGTTTTGTGTAATTATACCATTTTCAAGGAGGGTCTTGGGAATTTGGATTTGATCCTCCCAACAGTGCAAATACATATAAATATTTTGTGAGTCGGTCTGTAAGTATGATTCCCTTTGAAGTTATTCATGATTATAAACCTAGGGAAATTTTAGACCTTATTCCCGTGCCCCCAGATGCTAATGTGTCTATGTCAGTTGTGGTAGTTTATCACATCTTCATAATTTGCATATTGTGATCAATAAAGAACTTGAAGCACACACTGTATTATATAAACTTCAAGTGGATTTGCATAAACGAAATTTTGAATTTAACATTGGGGATTATGTGTGGACCTCCAACCTGTATATACTACCATTTCTAATCCAATAACACTAATCACAACACACAAAGAGAAAATTGATACTATTTTAGATGAACATGTTGTATTAACAATTGATAGAGAGAATCGATATTCTCTTGTTTGTTGGGTAGATTGACGTGCTTCTTATGTTCCTCATTATGTACAATCATGTGAAAATTTTGGAAACGAGGTGCATGAGTATTGATTATTTGAAGTCTAGTATTAGTACTTGGTTAGAAGGAAAAATTGTCCCCTTGATCGGATCATATTCTTGGGAATAAGCTACAATTTTAATTACTATCAATCATGGAATTTCGATACTTGGTTCATTAGAAAGATTGTCTCCCGTGGCATTACTTGAAGTATTTTGGTTATCAGATTGAGTGCAGTCTCTTGTGATCTATCCACTCGACGGGGTCGAATTTTCTCCCACACCGGGAGAGTTGGCAAGGACATCCACCTATATTTATTTTTATTTTTATGTGGACTCTTATTTATTTTGTTTATTTTAGTTAGACCATTATTTAGTGGGTTTGGTCCTTTCTCTTCAGGGTTTTGCTTTGTTATTTAAATCACGTAATTGAGATTGGTTTTGGCGTTTCCTACCTCTCCCTTCCCCAATTCTCTTGAATTTCTGCTACTTCTCTGATTTCTTTCCCAGTTCTTTTTGGTTTCCTCCCCCTTTCTTGCTGCCATTTTCTTTATCCTTCATCGCCTTGGATGTCCAATGAGTTCATTGAAGAGCGAGGTTCGAGCATAGTACTTGGTGTTACACTAGACCCATTTTGACAGCCACTTGAAATTTGGTTGGATAGTGGCGACAGGGTTATTACAACTTATGCTAAAGAGTAAATAGTCTTAATGATGAAAAAAAGTCCCTAGAAATACCATAAACATGGAAACAAGATAAGAAATTATGTGGAATAAAAGAAATAATATTTTTTCAATAAACACATGGAATAAAAGAAATAATATTTTTTCAATCAAAACACGTAAAATAAAGGAAATGATATTTTTCCTAAAAAATTTAGTCTAATTTGGTCAAGAACGACATCCGATGGCTTTTGCAACAATGAATTGCCAATTGCAACAAAAGTAGCAAGGCTGTTGCCATCAAATCAAAATTATGAATCTCAAGCAGCCTTTAGCCCCTGTTTGGCCCCCGTTAATTTTCATTCCATTACATTTTATTTTTCTCTCTCACATTTTCAATCGTACAATCTTCAATCAAATAATATTACACGTAAATCGAAAAAATTCCATTTTTTTTCAACCACTCATTAAAAAAAAAAAAAAACACTATTCTACCTATTTTCATTACCACAAAATGGGGGCTATGTTTGAGA